GTCGTAGCCGTAGAAGTAGAAATAGTAGTATAGTAGTAGGAGTAGTAGTAGTAGTAGTACCAGTGGTAGCAGTAGTGGTAGCAGTAGTAGTAGTAGTAGTAGTAGTAGTAGTAGTAGTAGTAGTAGTATTAGTAGTAGTAGTATCATTATTTGTATTTTCATTTATAGTAGTAGCCGTAGTCCAAATAGTAGTAGTAGTAGTAGTAGTAGTAGTAGTAGTAGTAGTAGTAGTCGTAGTAGTAGTAGTAGTAGTAGTAGTAGTAGTAGTAGTGTACTAGTAGGAGTACTAGTAGTAGTAGTACTACTACTACTACTACTAGTAGTAGTAGTAGTTGTTGTTGTTGTTGTTGTAGTCGTAGTAGTAGTGATCATAGTAGTAACTGCAGGAATTATAGTAGCAGAAATTCTGGCTGCGGTGTGAGAGTCAGATACCATTACGTGACAGCTATCAGCAGCACCAGCAGTAAGAAGGATCTTGTGCAGTAGCAATGGTAGCAGTGATAATAATGGAAGCAGTCAAAGGATGCAGAAGACGATGGTGAGGAGGAAGAGGAACGTCACAAGGACTAGAGGACGATCCGTAGGCGGCGGTGGGATAGGGAAATGAAAACAAGGGTACTGATGATGCTGATGTGGACTAGGGGCAAAAGCAGGAGGACAAGGAGGGGGATGATGTTGAAAGAATGCGGGCTTGAGGGGATATAGCAGAACAGGCGGAGGAATGCTAGGAGGAATCGGTAGAGGAACGAGGAGAGAGGGAGGAGGGGCGTGGGCGAAGTCTGCGAGCATGTTCAGAGGCGGTGTAGTACAGCCTCTTGCACCAACGGTCCAGGAGAACAGTGTCAGGCTGCAGCAGGAGCAGATAGCGCATGCCGAATTAGTGGGGGTGTCAAAGGATCGCGCCGGCCACTTAACAGTGAGCGTCTGGCAGTCTGAGGAGATGTTTTGATGCGGACACGTCTGTTACACAACGGTCCCTCGTGCTCAGTCCGCGGCAAATGTCGGCTATAGGCCAAAAGCGTAACTATACAGATTGCCCACCTGAGGGAACTCAAGGCGATGGGGTGGGCCAGAGGAGTTCCCAGAACTGACAGGTCCGGGCCAATGGCCAGACTGCACGGCTTCTGAGATTTAGCACGCCTTATGACACCAGACGCCTGACGGCCAACCAAAGCCAATGTCGCCGACAGCGGTGTGGTTCTCGAAGAGGGCAAGAAGAAGGACGAAGTAAGTCTGATCCGACCACCTGTTTAGGTAGATGCGCCCGTCGTTGTTCAGCGCCTCCGCCAGCCTGCGGACCGGCTCTGACCTGAAGAACTTTAGGTCACCCATGACTGCATATCCCACGTAGTTCACCATCGCTCCCTGAGGTCTGAAGAAGCGGGGATCCTGCGGGGTCAGGCCGTGCTTCTGCTGGTACTGAAAAAACCACTCCCAAAGGCCCTCGGAGCAGGTCGGATCCCGTACCGTCCTGCGCGTCTGCCACATGAACTTCCGTTCAGTCTTCGCCATCATGCAAAACGGATCCTCGTCGACATCGTTTACAAAGAAGAAGTCCGCATCGATACGCAAATCCGACTGCCCCCTTGGAGGCGCAAGGTTGTGAAGCCCCTTGCTGGACAGCTGGCCTTCTGGTGAAAACTGTCTTCCTTGCCGTGCTGTCTCTTGTTTCAATGCCTTTTTCTCGCTAGCCCTGTCTCATTCTGCTGAATGCCCCCCGGCGCCACTGAAGTCACTCAAGGTGTTTGCGCAGACCTCTGGTCGCGATAGATTGCCTGGGATTCCTTCATGGACTCCACCAAACGACCCCGAGGGCCTCTAGGGCCAGGACGGGCAAAGACGGCCTCAAGATGACCATGAGATGGTTCAAGAGGTCCCAAGATACCCTCGAGAGGAACACACACACACACAACAAGCATTGTCATTTCATCGTCCTTGCCTCTGTCCCGTATGTTGCGTCAAGATTACCCAACGCGGCACCAAGGTGATCCCTAAACATTGCCATGATGGCCAGGATGCCAGGCAAGGCTAGAAAACCCAGCGCAGCCCCAACATGTCCCCAAGAGGCCCCTAAGAGTGGCCCCGAGAGATAGTCTTTATATTATTCAGGACGGCCCGACGGTGGTCCCAGAGCCACAATATGCCCCGGAAGACAAAACACTCCCGAGTCAAGACAAGATGGCGGCAGAGGACGCAGTCGTTCAAATAATACCTGTACTTCTCCAAGGCCGTGTGTTCATACATTGCCTTTATGAAAAATTGGTTCATGTGCTTGTAGCTAGTACTCACCGCTTTTGCACACGAGTTCATTTTCTTTGTCCAATCTGCCTTTGGTTTCCATGTAGGCTTTCCAGTCGCATTGTCGAGGACCTTTGGAAACGTGATGTTAAATTCTACGATCTCCCAGTCGTAATCCACCTCCCCGACCCTACGCATGACTTTATGCACATCCTGATAAGTGGGGGACCCAAAATAACTAACACGATCATATTTGCGCATGGCGTTGCTCGGGATGAAAATCTTTACGTCGTATGCCCAGTGCCGGAGGAAATGCTTACTCAACAATGCCACGCTCTGCTCCAACCTCGTCAGATCCATCAGCCGGGTAACCAAGTACACGATGACTCCGTTCTCGAGGCTGGGCTGGACCCCGGAGGGAAGACGACACTGCTGTGACGCCTGCGCGACAGCGAACCTCTCCGACGACTCGGGCTGCAACTTTTCGGGGCCGTCCAGGCCGACTCTTCTGTTCGACCGCTCGTCTCCTGCATGCTCAAAATCCGCCACTGCCCTAGGCCGTAGGCTCTGAGTGGAGTGTCCTCAGGTCGAGTCCTCAGGATCCGATATAGAGCCCTCAATACTGAAGACACCGAGAATCTCTCCAAGAAGCCCTCCCAAAGGCTCGCGCCCACGACCCATGCATGGCGGCTGGGCGCACAAGAAATCTACCTTTTACCGCGTCTCCCCAAATTTCTCTGGGGGTGCACTCTGATTAAGGTTCCCAGGCGAATCCAACCGTGAAAGCGGAATCGAAGGAGAGATTGTAGTATCGAAATACTTTCCTCCTCTGAATGGCGGGATGGGCCGACAGCCACTACATACCAGGTGTCAGAATTCTCCTCCTCGTCCGCGCCCCTGCCGCCAACCAGGAGGTCCTTCGGTGGCTAATGTGGGGGATCTGGGGGGACCCATTGCGACCCGCGTATAGCGGCACTCAAAAATTATTCACTGCGTGGAGCTCCCCATATGTGCATCTATTCGCATGGACCTGTCCGCCCTGAATGTCTAGGCGCAAGAGCTTTCGAATATAAACAGGCTTCAGTTGTGACGGTCTGGTCATGAATCTAACTGAGAATGAATTGGAGTGTGAATGAGCCTCAGTAGTACGAGCGCGTCTCTGCGCATGAGCCTGGTCCTCCTGGGGCCTCCTGGGGCCTCCTGAAACCTACTGGGGCTTCCTGGGGCCTCCAGGAGCCTCTTGGGGCCTTCTAGGGAGGATTCGTGCCCCAGGGGAGGCCCAATCTATAGCAACCAGAACCATCGCGAGAGCTTTGCGCGCGCTCAAGTTCTAGCTAGGCTTGATCGGCTAACTCATGTGATATCATGTTGGTCGCTTCTTGCGTCCAGGGACTCCCTTGGAGGCCCTGCGCAAACCTCGGAATCGTATAGAAGGGGAAGTGCGGAAGGTATTCAACGACTTGGGGCCCTCAAAGGCTTCCTGAATTCTTTTTGGAAGGTGATGGGGGATCGTAAGTTTGGTCTGTGGTGCAAGAGTAGACCGGGGGCCAAGCTTGGAAAACAACATAAAAATGTGGGATTCCCATTTTTTTCCAATTCCTCGGCGCTGTTCGGCGCTGTTCGGCGCTGTTTTTTGTTTGTGCCTCGCGGGTTTTGTTAGCCGGGCCCCTCAGGGGTGTGGGATCTTCCAGGCCCCCTGGGGCTTCTGGAGGCCTCCTGGAGGCCTGGAGAGCCGTCGGAAGGGTGTCTCGGGCTGCGCGGGAGCGTGTTGGGCCGTTCTTTACGTTATGGGGGCTCCTTGGGGTCGTCATGGGCTGTCCTTCGGCGTCGTGGGGTCTCCCCCTGGGAAGCCGGGAGGCGCGGTACCGGCCAGATGTCAGGGGATGTGTGGGACCCCCGAGTAGGAGTCCCATTTTTCCAAAGAAGGGAATTCTGGGAATTCCCTTCTTTAAAAAAGTGGCTGTCTTCTTCTGGGACCCCTCTCGGGCGCTTCTTGGGCTTCTCTTGGGCCGTCTTGGGGGCCGAATGGGCCGTCCTGCGTTCCTCCTGGGCCGTCTTGGAGATTTCATCAGGGCCTCCTAGGCCGTTTTGGGGGGCCGCTTGGGCCGTCTTGGACGCGGTGACAGCCCAAGAGGCGAGCATGCGAAAAATATACGTTTTCCCATAGGAATTTTAGTTTCTTGGGGCTCTCTTGGGGTGCCTCTTGGAGCATCTTGGGGTGCTTTGGGGGGCCTGCTTGGGGCCTCTTGGGGGCGTATCGGCGCCTCCTGGAGCCACTTGGGGCCGAAAGCTCGGAATTCGAGAGTGGCTTTCTTTCTCTGGGACTCCTCTCGGGCGCGTGTTGGGGCTCTCTTGGGCCGTCTTGGGGGCCCATTGGGCCGTCCTGGGCTTCTCGTGGCCCGTCTTGGAGCTCTTTTGGGGGCCTCCTAGGCCGTCTTGGGAACCCCTTGGGCCGTCTTGGACGCGATGACAGCCCAACAGGCGAACATACGAAAGATATGCGTTTTCCCAAAGGAATGGGACGATCTTTGCTTCTTGGAGCTCTCTTGGGGTGCCTCTTGGAGCGTTTTGGGGTGCTTATGGGAGCCTTCCGGGCGCTTCTTGGGGGCCTTCTCGGCGCCTCCTGGAGCCACTTGGGGTCGAAAGCTTGGAATTCGATGGTGGCCTTCCTCCTCTGGGGCCCTTTTGGGCCCGTCTTGGGGACTCTCTTGGGCCGTCTTGGGGGCCCTTCGTGGGCCGTCCTGGAGCTCTCTGGGGCTGTGTTGGGGCCCTCGGGGGCGCGTCCTCGGCCGGACCGACAGCGAAAACAAGCAATATGTTAAACATATACGTTTTTACGAAAGGAATGGGGCTATTTTGGCCCCTTGGGGCTCTCTTTGGAGCCCTATTGGGGGTCGCTTGGGGTGTCTTGGGGGCTTCTGAAGCCGCCTTGGAGGCCATGTTCGGCGTCTGGGAGCGACCTTCGGGCGTCCCGGGTCTGTTCTGGAGCCTCTTGGGGCCTCCTTGGTGCCTTCTGGCGGTCTTCTGTGAGGCCCCAGGGCTCCCCGAGGGCCCTGGAGCCCACATTTGTGGTAGCGGCGCCGGCCCCGGGCGCCCGGACCTGGTGCGCCGTTATATGTATACAGACGTACATAAAACATTGCGGATTGGAGCCACAGGAAAAGGGGGCAATCTATAGGAACACACATAAAATACCAAGGACTCGTGCCCCAGGAGAGGCCCTATATGAACATAAGTACACAGGAGAAGGACAATATATAGAAACATACGTATAACATCAAGGATTCGTGCTCCAGGTGAGGCCCAATCTATAAGAGCATACGTAAAACACATGGGATTGGAGCCACTCATGTTGCCTTCTGAAGCCTCCTGCTCCTAGGGCCTCCTGTTGGAGCCTCCTGTGGCATCCTGAAGAGAATCTGTGCCCACGAGTCTGGCCACCGATCGAGACATCCTCAAAATCTGGCCCACCTGGGGGGTGAAAATGAGCGCTTCGCTCGAGACATCCTCCAAATCTGTTCCGAAAGCGAAGGATGTTGGGACAGAAAAGAAGCCAACCGCTTGAGACATGCACACAAAACGGCCGCGAAGGGGACCGTGAAATAACCCCTGGCGGCTGCCCTTACGGACGTGAAAATGAACGCCTCGCTCGAAACATCCTCCAAATCTGCTCCGAGACGAAGGATGTTGGGACAGAAAACAAGCAAACCGCTTGAGACATCCCCACAAAACGGCCGCGAACGGGACCGTGAAATAACCCCTGGCGGCTCCCCTTAGGGACGTGAAAATGAGCGCCTCGCTCGAGACATCCTCCAAGTCTGCTCCGAAAGCGAAAGATGTTGGGGCAGAAAACAAGCAAACCGCTTGAGATATCCCCACAAAACGGCCGCGAACGGGACCGTGAGATAACCCCATGGCGGCCCCCCTTAAGGGGGTGACAATGAGCGCCTCGCTGGAAACATCCTCTAAATCTGCTCCGAAAAAAAAAAAGGAAAAAAAGAAAAAAAAGCGAAGGCTGTTGGGACGAAAACAAGAGCCAAAAAATGAAAAGTGGGAAAACATAGAAGAAAAATAAATAAAAGAAAAAAAAAATAATAAAAAAAAAAAAAAAAGAAAAAAAACCAAGCAAAAAAGAAAACAAAAAAAAAAAAAAGAAAAAAAAAAGAGAAAAAAAAAAAAACAAATAAAAAAAAAAACAAAAAAAAAAAAAAAAAAAGTAAAAAAAGAAAAAAAAAAAAAAACAAAAAAAGAAAATAATAAAACAAAAAGAAAAAAAAAACAACAAAAAAAAAAACAAAAAGAAAACAACAAAAAAAAAAAAAACAAAAAAAAAAAAAAAAACAAAAAACAAAAAAAATTAAAGCAAAAGAACAAAAAATAAAAAAGCCAACACGCTTGGACAATCCCGACAAAACGGGCCGCGAACGGGCACGTGAGAAAAGCCAGGGGTGAGATAACCCCTGGCGGCGCCCCTTAGGGGAGTGACACAGAAAACAAGCAAACCGCTTGAGATATCCCAACAAAAGGGCCGCGAAAGGGACCCCTGGCGGCTCCCCTTAGGGGAGTGACAATGAGCGCCTCGCTCGAGACATCCTCCACATCTGCTCCGAAGACGAAGGATGTTGGGACAGAAAACAAGCAAACCGCTTGAGGCATCCCCACAAAACGGCCGCGAACGGGCCGCGCGTGAGTCTCAGCATGAGTAAGTCTGAGTAGGAGTAGGCCTGAGTATGCGTAGGTCTGAGTAAAAGTAATTTCGTGTGTGAGTAAGTCTGGGTATGAGTAAATCTGGGTATGAGGAGGACAGGGAGGAGAAGGAGAAGGAGGAGAAGTCGGCGGCGTCCAAGAAATAATAAGAACCCCATCTTAGGATATGGGGAACAACCAGTGGCGTCTACACATCAGAGAGAACGCGTTTCACGGGCGCTTGCTTTGGGAACATTCGGCGGAGGGGGGCTCTCCCCCCCACCCCCCCTCTCCCGAACCCCCCCCCCCAAGGGCCAGCGCCAGCGCTGGCGCCGCTGGCGGCCGCCAGCAGCGCCGACGGCGGGGACGCAGCAACGATGACAAGAGGCAGCCCAGGGGGGGGGAGGTTCAACCCCCCCCCCCGGTTTCCCCCGGGCTCCAGGAGGGGGGGGGTTCAAACCCCCCTCCCCCTCCCCCCTGGCGCTGGCGGCGGCGCTGGCGGCGGCCAGCAGCGCCGGCGCTGGCGCCGGCGACGGCGGGGACGCAGCGACGATTACCACCACTACCACCACAGCCACCACAACCACCACCACCGCCAACACAGCCACCACCACCACCACAACCACCACCACAACCCACCATCACCACCAACACCACAACCACAAAAACCCACCACCACCACCACAATCTACCACACCACCACCACCACCATCACAGCCGCAACCACCACCTCTACTAGCAGCACAACCCCCGCCACCACACAAACCACCAGCACCACCACCACCGCCGCCACCACCACCAGCACCACCAGCACCACCCCCACAAACCCACCGGCCACCACTCACAACCACCAAAAAGAACCACCCAACCACCACAACCACCTCACACCACCACCACCACCAAACACCACATCCACCACAACCACCCCCCACGCCCCACACAACCACCACCACACCACCACCAAAGAACCACCACCACCATCACCACCACCCATCACCACAACCACCACCACCACAACAAACCACACCACCACCACCACAACCACCACCACCGCCACCACCACCGCCAGCACCACGTCCACAAACCACCGCCACCACCACAACCCACCATGACCAGCACCACCACAAACCACCACCACACCACCACCACACCACCACAACCACCACCACCACAAGTCACCATCACCACCACCACCACCGCCACAAAAACCTTCCACCACTACCACCACCAC